CCCAATTTGATATCCAATTTTTCTTTATCTAAATCATTTGATACCCTCATCACCTTATTCTTTTCTATGTTCACTTTCAACTTTCTACCTTTACACACACTCCCAAACTCATCCACTAACCTTTGCAATTTTTCTTTAGAATCTCCCATAAGCACAGTATCATCAGCAAAAAGCAACTGTGTCAATTCCCATTTTGTATTTGATTCCCCATAATTTAATCCCACCCCCTCTCCCGAACACCCTAGCATTTACTTCTTTTACAACCCCATCTATAAATATATTAAACAACCATGGTGACATTACACATCCCTGTCTAAGACCTACTTTTACCGAGAAGTAGTCTCCCTCTCTTCTACACACCCTAACCTGAACCTTACTATCCTCATAAAAACTCTTTACAGCATTTAGTAACTTACCACCTATTCCATATACTTGAAACATCTGCCACATTGCTCCTCTATCCACTCTATCATATGCCTTTTCTAAATCCATAAATGCAATAAAAACTTCCCTACCTTTATCTAAATACTGTTCACATATATGCTTCAATGTAAACACTTGATCTACACATCCCCTACCCACTCTGAAGCCTCCTTGCTCATCCGCAATCTTATATTCTGTCTTACCTCTAATTCTTTCAATTATAACCCTACCGTATACTTTTCCTGGTATACTCAGTAAACTTATTCCTCTATAATTTTTACAATCTCTTTTGTCACCTTTCCCTTTATATAAAGGGACTATACATGCTCTCCGCCAATCCCTAGGTACCTTCCCCTCTTTCATACATTTATTAAACAAAAGTACCAACCACTCCAACACTATATCCCCCCCTGTTTTTAACATTTCTGTCATGACCCATCAGTTCCAGCTGATTTACCCCCTTTCATTCTGCGTAATGCCTCACGTACCTCCACCACTCTTACATTCTGCTCTTCTTCACTCCTAAAAGATGGTATACCTCCCTGGCCAGTGCATGAAATTATATATATTATATATATATATATATATATATATATATATATATATATATATATATATAAATATATATATATAAAATATATATATATATATATATATATATATATATATATATTTTATTATCACACTGGCCGATTCCCACCAAGGCAGGGTGGCCCAAAAAAGAAAAAACTTTCACCATCATTCACTCCATCACTGTCTTGCCAGAAGGGTGCTTTACACTACAGTTTTTAAACTGCAACATTAACACCCCTCCTTCAGAGTGCAGGCACTGTACTTCCCATCTCCAGGACTCAAGTCCGGCCTGCCGGTTTCCCTGAATCCCTTCATAAATGTTACTTTGCTCACACTCCAACAGCACGTCAAGTATTAAAAACCATTTGTCTCCATTCACTCCTATCAAACACGCTCACGCATGCCTGCTGGAAGTCCAAGCCCCTCGCACCCAAAACCTCCTTTACCCCCTCCCTCCAACCTTTCCTAGGCCGACCCCTACCCCGCCTTCCTTCCACTACAGACTGATACACTCTTGAAGTCATTCTGTTTCGCTCCATTCTCTCTACATGTCCGAACCACCTCAACGACCCTTCCTCAGCCCTGTGGACAACAGTTTTGGTAATCCCGCACCTCCTCCTAACTTCCAAACTACGAATTCTCTGCATTATATTCACACCACACATTGCCCTCAGACATGACATCTCCACTGCCTCCAGCCTTCTCCTCGCTGCAACATTCATCACCCATGCTTCACACCCATATAAGAGCGTTGGTAAAACTATACTCTCATACATTTCCCTCTTTGCCTCCAAGGACAAAGTTCTTTGTCTCCACAGACTCCTAAGTGCACCACTCACTCTTTTTCCCTCATCAATTCTATGATTCACCTCATCTTTCATAGACCCATCTGCTGACACGTCCACTCCCAAATATCTAAATACATTCACCTCCTCCATACTCTCTCCCTCCAATCTGATATTCAATCTTTCATCACCTAATCTTTTTGTTATCCTCATAACCTTACTCTTTCCTGTATTCACCTTTAATTTTCTTCTTTGCACACCCTACCAAATTCATCCACCAATCTCTGCAACTTCTCTTCAGAATCTCCCAAGAGCACAGTGTCATCAGCAAAGAGCAGCTGTGACAACTCCCACTTTGTGTGTGATTCTTTATCTTTTAACTCCACGCCTCTTGCCAAGACCCTCGCATTTACTTCTCTTACAACCCCATCTATAAATATATTAAAACAACCACGGTGACATCACACATCCTTGTCTAAGGCCTACTTTTACTGGGAAAAAATTTCCCTCTTTCCTACATACTCTAACTTGAGCCTCACATCCTCGTAAAAACTCTTCACTGCTTTCAGTAACCTACCTCCTACACCATACACTTGCAACATCTGCCACATTGCCCCCCTATCCACCCTGTCATACGCCTTTTCCAAATCCATAAATGCCACAAAGACCTCTTTAGCCTTATCTAAATACTGTTCACTTATATGTTTCACTGTAAACACCTGGTCCACACACCCCCTACCTTTCCTAAAGCCTCCTTGTTCATCTGCTATCCTATTTTCCGTCTTACTCTTAATTCTTTCAATTATAACTCTACCATACACTTTACCAGGTATACTCAACAGACTTATCCCCCTATAATTTTTGCACTCTCTTTTATCCCCTTTGCCTTTATACAAAGGAACTTTGCATGCTCTCTGCCAATCCCTAGGTACCTTACCCTCTTCCATACATTTATTAAATAATTGCACCAACCACTCCAAAACTATATCCCCACCTGCTTTTAACATTTCTATCTTTATCCATCAATCCCAGCTGCCTTACCCCCCTTTTATTTTACCTACTGCCTCACGAACTTCCCCCACACTCACAACTGGCTCTTCCTCACTCCTACAAGATGTTATTCCTCCTTGCCCTATACACGAAATCACAGCTTCCCTATCTTCATCAACATTTAACAATTCCTCAAAATATTCCCTCCATCTTCCCAATACCTCTAACTCTCCATTTAATAACTTTCCTCTCCTATTTTTAACTGACAAATCCATTTGTTCTCTAGGCTTTCTTAACTTGTTAATCTCACTCCAAAACTTTTTCTTATTTTCAACAAAATTTGTTGATAACATCTCACCCACTCTTTCATTTGCTCTCTTTCTACATTGCTTCACCACTCTCTTAACCTCTCTTTTTTTTCCATATACTCTTCCCTCCTTGCATCACTTCTACTTTGTAAAAACTTCTCATATGCTAACTTTTTCTCCCTTACTACTCTCTTTACATCATCATTCCACCAATCGCTCCTCTTCCCTCCTGCACCCACTTTCCTGTAACCACAAACTTCTGCTGAACACTCTAACACTACATTTTTAAACCTACCCCATACCTCTTCGACCCCATTGCCTATGCTCTCATTAGCCCATCTATCCTCCAATAGCTGTTTATATCTTACCCTAACTGCCTCCTCTTTTAGTTTATAAACCTTCACCTCTCTCTTCCCTGATGCTTCTATTCTCCTTGTATCCCATCTACCTTTTACTCTCAGTGTAGCTACAACTAGAAAGTGATCTGATATATCTGTGGCCCCTCTATAAACATGTACATCCTGAAGTCTACTCAACAGTTCTTTTATCTACCAATACATAATCCAACAAACTACTGTCATTTCGCCCTACATCATATCTTGTATACTTATTTATCCTCTTTTTCTTAAAATATGTATTACCTATAACTAAACCCCTTTCTATACAAAGTTCAATCAAAGGGCTCCCATTATCATTTACACCTGGCACCCCAAACTTACCTACCACACCCTCTCTAAAAGTTTCTCCTACTTTAGCATTCAGGTCCCCTACCACAATTACTCTCTCTCTCTCTCTCTCTCTCTCTCTCTCTCTCTATATATATATATATATATATATATATAATATATATATATATATATATATATCTATATATATATATATATATATATATATATATATATATATATATATATATAAACAGGTGATTTCAGAATATGCAAAACAACCACTGTGAAAGAATAATGAAAATTCCAAGTTCTTTCGTGACTACTCATATTATCAAGGAACAACATTATTGTTCCTTGATAATGTGAGTAGTCACGAAAGAGCTTGGAATTTTATTATTCTTTCACAGTGGTTGTTTTGCACAAACACACACACACACACACACACACACACACACACACATATATATATATATATATATATGCAAAACAACCACTCTGAAAGAATAGAGAAATTCCAAGCGCTTTCGTGACTACTCACATTATCAAGGAACTATGAAAGTAAAGCATCCAAGGAAGCTATATAAGGGGTCTGGTCGGCACCTCACTATCAGATCCCACAACGGTTTAAACACGTGACGCGCGGCGAGCCAACTTGGAAAGGTCCTTGGCACAACTCACCCCACAAACTATTCTACCCAAGAAATAAGAAATTTTAAAGATTATTTGTCCAGTGTATTATTAAATTCTTCCCAAATTCTATTAATTATAAATGGATCTAATTTATATAAACCAAAGGAAATATTCATATTTTTGTCAAAACTGCTTTTTATGAAACAAGATTCAATTATATTCCTGTCGACCATGGACTTGCTTGATACTACTTTCTCAACTTTTTGAAAATCAATTGGATGGTTAAAATCTCTTACATGAATAAATAGAGCATTGGAATCTTGTCCAGTTCTAATGCTATATTTATGTTGTTTTAATCTTAGTTCGAGATTTTTACCAGTTTGACCGTAATATATATATATATACATATACATATGTATGTATGTATATGTATGTATACATGTATATATGTATGTATATACCTATCAAGTATTTGTTACCGTCTCGGCTGTGGTAACTTTAATATCAAAATCTTAGATTTAGCACAAATTGCACTTATGGAATATTAGCAGGTGTCACTGTCTGTGACTGAGCTGAAACATGCTCCCAGTTCCAGAGAAAGAGATAAAGAAATCTGCCCTCACCGTCAGTTCCATTTCCTCGTTCTCTCTTTTGATGTAGAATGGCCACCAACCCTTAACGCGTCGCTGCTTGAAGATGTTGACCATTGGCACTGTGCCATCCGTCTTGAGCATGTCTAACGTGCACATCTTGGAGTTCTTGGCACCTCGAGGGAAACGGTTCAGGTCTAGCGTGATGGCACCCAAGAAGTCGTCGGCTGAGAAGTGATCAGCGTCCCACACCTGTAGGTGATAAGAGTGATGGTCCGCGTTGAGGTCTCTCTCTTTCTCTCTCTCTCTTCCCCGGTGCTGCTTCACTCACGAACATACCTTCCGTAATGTTACATTTACTCTCAGGATCCCATAAACCCTCTGATAATTTCTACTTCCTCACTATACCCACTTCACTCAATTTTTCTGTCTGTCTCTACACCACGTTGCTTCACTTCCTTAAATTTTGTTATTAACCCCGTAGCCTTCATTCCTTTTTTCTTAATTATTTCCTCTACTGGTTATTCCTCTACACCTTTCCTCTCTCCTTAATCCTTCCTCCTCTCCTTCTCCTCCTTGTTCTCTCTAGTCTTCATAGCTAGCAACTTCGAGCACAGAACACTTGACACCTTGGTGACTTTATTGAGTCACTTCTTAGACCACATCTTGGATATGCCGTCTAATTTTGGTTTACAAACTACGCTAGGAAAGAGATGTTAGAGAAGGTTCAGCGAAGAGCAACTAAACCCGCACCATCACTGAGGAACAATCAGCGGTTTTTTTCTCTCTTAGGAAATGGAACCTTTCAAATACTCAATGGATTTCACACACTGAAACTCAGCCGCTTAACTGCTGAGGGAAGTTGACCAAAGACACTCATTCTTGCTTATATTTCTGACCTATTTAAATTATCAAATAGATAAAAATCTAGTCTTTAGTCTATAGTGCGGCTTGAGTAAGAAACGGCTATTTTAACCCCAAAACCAATCAATTATTATTGGAAGTGCTGAATGAGTTCAAAACTCGAAACAATGGAATGAAACTGCTAGGTAGAAGATGCAGAACGAAAGATTATTATTTTTTTTATTTAGAATTATAGAGAAATGGAATAAAAAACTCGGTAATGTTGTAAGCGCGAAGACAAAACATTTATTCAAGAACCAGCTGGACTAGCTGGTATAAGATTTAACCAGCTACATGATGCTCTAGTGGGAGGAGTTGCCAGACCCTTCAGGACTTAATAAGTGAAACTGATCGACAAGATACTGGGTATGGTGAGGGTGAACAGTAGTGAGGTGTTGCCTTGGACACTCACCACCTGACAGGTGTTGCCTTGGACACTCACCACCTGACAGGTGTTGCCTTGGACACTCACCACCTGACAGGTGTTGCCTTGGACACTCACTACTTGACAGGTGTTGCCTTAGACACTCACCACCTGTCAGGTGTTGCCTTGGACACTCACTACCTGACACGTGTTGCCTTGGACACTCACCACCTGACAGGTGTTGCCTTGGACGCTCACCACCTGACAGGTGTTGCCTTGGACACTCACCACCTGACAGGTGTTGCCTTGGACATTCACCACCTGACAGGTGTTGCCTTGGACACTCACTACCTGACAGGTGTTACCTTGGACACTCACCACCTGTCAGATGTTGCCTTGGACACTCACTACCTGACAGGTGTTGCCTTGGACACTCACTACCTGACAGGTGTTGCCTTGGACACTCACCACCTGTCAGGTGTTGCCTTGGACACTCACTACCTGACAGGTGTTGCCTTGGACACTCACCACCTGGCAGGTGTTGTCTGGGGCACTCATCACCTGACAGGTGTTGCCTGGGACACTCACCACCTGACAAGTGTTGCCTTGGACACTCACTGCCTGACAGGTGTTGCCTTGGACACTCACCACCTGACAGGTGTTGCCTTGGACATTCACCACCTGTCAGGTGTTGCCTTGGACACTCACTACCTGACAGGTGTTGCCTGGGACACTCACTACCTGACAGGTGTTGCCTGAGACACTCACCACCTGACAGGTGTTACCTGGGACACTCACCACCTGACAGGTGTTGCCTGGGACACTCACCACCTGACAGGTGTTGCCTGGGACACTCATCACCTGACAGGTGTTGCCTGGGACACTCACCACCTGACAGGTGTTGCCTGGGACACTTATCACCTGACAGGTGTTGCCTGGGACACTCACCACCTGACAGGTGTTGCCTGGGACACTCACCACCTGACAGGTGTTGCCTGGGACACTCATCACCTGACAGGTGTTGCCTGGGACACTCACCACCTGACAGGTGTTGCCTGGGACACTCATCACCTGACAGGTGTTGCCTGGGACACTCACCACCTGACAAGTGTTGCCTGGGACACTCACCACCTGACAGGTGTTGCCTGGGACACTCACCACCTGACAAGTGTTTCCTGGAACACTCACCACCTGACTCTGGCACTAACTATACCTTCACAAAACCCGCTCTAAAATCACATGGACCGTCAAATACATGTTCATACAGCGGCTGCGTCAGCTGACAGCGAGGGAAACAAATCCTTGCCTCATATTAACATATAATACACGATAGTCTATAATAATCTGTAATCTAGATAGAAGTAGACAGTTCTTTCTATTTGTATCCTTTTTCTCCTAGATTAATTCACTCTTCACTTCTCAACCCTCCATCTATCTTTTCTCTCTTCTCTGTCTTCCTTCTCTCTCCCCTTCCTCTTTCAATCCCGTCTAATATTTTTTTCTCTTTCCACATCCCTCTCCCTTCCCCATTCTCCCCCCTTTCCCTTCCCTGTTCTCCCCTACTACATACCAGTCCTTTCTCACAAACTGGTCTAGCCTAGTTGGGACAGACCTGCTAGTGAGAAGGGACCAAGAAAAGAAAGACTTTCCCTCCCGTTCTCTCTCCTATCTCCCTTTCCATCTCCGTTCCACTCATTGCTTAAATACCCCTCCCTATCTCCTTACCTACTCTCTTTTCCCCTTCTCCCACCGCTTCCTACCCACCCTCCTCCTCCTCACCTGCAGCTCTAGCCTGGCTGGGATCTTGCACTCCGTCTCGTCCCAGGAGAAGAGAGATTCCTTGCGACTGATGACAATCTTCTCCTCAGCCACCAGGTACTCGAAGGGAAACACGAACCTCCAATTGAAGTTGCCCTCACCCGTCAGCGAGCGGTAGTGGATGTCTGTACACTGAGTGTCCTCTGGCCCCTTCAACCACCTGCACCAGAGACCTCAGTGAGAGGGTGGTTGTACAAGGCTAACGCGAGGTTTGAACATTGTACAAAATGGTTGGAATTAAATTTTTTTTACCTAGATATAAGACTTAAAATAAAATTTATGTGTAAATTTCCATTTCATCTCTTTTTTTTCTTGGTTGAATATATAAAATCTGTAAGCCTTGCTCATCCTTTCCAAGCTCAGCTCTGAGATATACTATCATCGATCAGGATGTTGTCAACAATAGGCGACTAACAACCGGGTAACTATTTTCATGTTTGGTGAACAGTGCTTTGATAAATATCGGCTAGTCAGCGCACCTCACGTATTTCTTCGATAACTACTGGAAGGTTACCTGTGAAGTTTTCCTACTTCGTTAGAAAGTTTACACAGATTATGTTTCAACACACAGACTAGAGTTCGCGTGAAAGAGTGGAGTCCGGAGAGATTATGATGTTTATTTTTATAATTATGCTATCTTCAAGAGTCTTGCAGGGCCACGGGATATAATCGGTGTGGTCCGAGATAAAGGCATTTTTAATTCCAATGGTCAAGAGACCTTCACTAGTAGCAAGAGGTTTCAAGAGACGTATGTTCAAGATTACAGATAATGGCATGGAGTTAGAAATCTGTGATAAACTTAATATGACTTTGTAATGGAATATCAGGGGTCAAAATATCGTGTTACTACGCAGGAAAAACTGCCATTATCCATTTTTGCACATTTTATCAGCCCCATTCCGTGGTCTGGGTTTACTGTTTTCACATTCATTCATAAACGCAGAAATTCTTTAGAGCCAAGCATAAGCAGATTTTTTTTTAAGGTTGATATATATATAATTGTCAAGCACACTAGCAGCCACAAACAGATCATTTCTAGCCTGAGACTCGCCAAAGTAACACCATCAAGGTTAAAAACACTAAACTTGGGTAACATGAAATGTTCCAGTAATTTTAATTATCATTATTTTTCTGTACTCTGTTAGAAACACACCAGCTCTGACACCTTTAATGTGGGAAGCAATTCATTATGTTTACAGGGAATTAGTGTGACTAGCCATTTCCTGGAGTAGCAGGAATAAAAGAGTTCGTATGAATAACGTGAGTCTAGGCTATAAAAATGTTGGCATTGTGGGCAGAAGGTCACAGTTATTACAATAATGAGAAACCCACCTGTGCGTGTCACAAACACATGTTTCCTGTAGGTTATGGTAGCTACTAAAATTTCCTATATACCAGACAAGTCCAAGTTTAATTTTCAATGGTGGGTAACACTACCAGAAATTCAGGTGTGTGAGTGTAGGCTGTGAGGAAACAACCTTCAGTCTGACTGGATTTAGAAGCCACTGACTGCGTGGTGGTTAGTTTACACCATTACCAGCCTTGATTTTACGTGCCCACACTTGTTAGTATCCAGAGATAGGTATGTTTAAATAGCTTTATGCCTAATTCTAAGCTATTTCTCAGACTGCAATGCCTCTTGATGTTCTTGACTCTTAATTATGTATACTCATAGAATAGTAATTTACATCACTCATATCTATCTTTAAGTCAACGTAAGAAACATTCTTTTAATATTTTCTTTTACTGACGTCAGGTTTTGGTGACAGTGTTTGTGTCCTTCCCGAGTATCTGTAAGTTCAAGTACTGTCTTCATTACGCTTAACTTAATTATTCCGCTGAGTCTCCACCATTTCAATTGGTTTTCAGGAATTTAGCTCTTGTTTAAACTTTTATCCTTTTGTTGATCCTCCAGGTATGAGGTTCTCTCTCAGATAAGACTGTTGATGCTCTAGGTGTGAGGATCTATCCCAGGTAATATTGTTGATCCTCCGGGTATGAGGTTCTCTCCCAGATAAGACTGTTGATGCTCTAGGTGTGAGGATCTATCCCAGGTAATATTGTTGATCCTCCGGGTATGAGGTTCTCTCCCAGATAAGACTGTTGATGCTCTAGGTGTGAGGATCTATCCCAGGTAATATTGTTGATCCTCCGGGTATGAGGATCTCTCCCAGGTAATATTGTTGATCCTCTAGGTGTGAGGATCTCTCCCGGGTAATATTGTTGATCCTCCAGGTATAAGATTCTCTCCCAGGTAAGACTGTTGATCCTCCATGTGTGAAAATCTCTCCCAGGTAATATTACTGATCCTCCAGGTGTGAGGATCTCTCCCGGGTAATATAGTTGATCCTCCAGGTGTGAGGATTGTCTCCCAGGTAATATTGTTGATCCTCCAGGTATGAGGATCTCTCCCGGGTAATATTGTTGATTCTTCAGGTGTGAGGTTCTCTCCCAGGTAATACAGTTGATCCTCCAGGTATGAACGTTTCATCCCAGATAATATTATTGATCCTCCACTTATGAAAGTTCCCTCCCAGGCAATATTGTTGATCTTCCAGGTGTGAGGATTGTCTCCCAGGTAATATAGTTGATCCTCCAGGTCTGAGGTTCTCTCGGAGCTAATACTGTTGATCCTCCAGTAGTGAAAGTTTCCCACCAGGTAATATTGTTGATCCTCCAGGTGTGAGGTTCTCTCCCAGGTAATATAATTGATCCTCCAGGTTTCAGGTTCTCTCCCAGGTAATATTGTTGATCATCCAGGTGTGAGGTTCTCTCCAAGGGAATATTGTTTAGCTTCCAGGTGTGAGGTTCTCTCTCGGGAAATACTGTTGATCCTCCAGGTGTGAGGATTGTCTCCCATGTAATATAGTTGATCCTCCAGGTGTCAGGTTCTCTCCTAGGTTATATTGTTGATCCTCCAGGTGTGAGGTTCTCTCCAAGGGAATATAGTTGATCGTCCAGGTGTGAAGGTTCTCTCCCAGGTAACATTGTTGATCCTCCAGGTGTGAAGGTTCTCTCCCAGGTAATATTGTCGATCCTCCAGGTGTGAGGGTTCTCTCCCACATAACACTGTCGATCCTCCAGGAGTGAGGGTTCTGTCCCACATAAAATTCTTGATCCTTCAGGTGTGAAGGTTCACTCCCAGGTAATACTGTCGATCCTCCAGGTGTGAGGGTTCTCTCCCAGGTAATATTGTCGATCCTCCAGTTGTGAGGGTTCTCTTCCACATAACATAGCTGATCCTCCAGTTGTGAGGATTCTCTTCCACATAACATAGCTGATTCTCCAGTTGTAATGGTTTTCTAACATTGATCTTCCAGGTATGAGAATTCTCTCCGACATAACATAGCTGATCCTCCATTGATAAGGGTTCCCTACAACATAACGTAGCTGAACCTCCAGGGGTGAGGGCTCTCTCCCATATAACACAGCTGATCCTCCAGGGGTGAGGGTTCTCTCCCACGGAAGATAGCTGATCCTCCAGGGGTGAGGATTCTCTTCCACTTAACATAGCTGATCCTCCAGGGATGAGGGTTCTCTCTCACATAACATAGCTGATCCTCCGGGTGACGGTTCTCTCCCACATAACATAGCTGATCCTCCAGTTATGAGGGTTCTCTCCCACATAACATAACTGATCCTCTAGGTGTGAGGGTTCTCTCCCATATAACATTCTTGATCCTCCAGTTGTGAAGGATCTCTCCCACATAACATAGCTGATCCTCCAGGTGTGATTGTTCTTTAACACATAACACTGTTGATCCTCCAGGGGTGAGGGTTCTCTCTCACATAACATAGCTGCTCCTCCAGGGGTGAGGGTTCTCTCTCACATAACATAGATGCTCCTCCAGGGGTGAGGGTTCTCTCTCACATAACATAGCTGCACCTCCAGGTGTGAGGGTTCTCTCTCACATAACATAGCTGCTCCTCCAAGGGTGAGGGTTCTCTCTCACATAACATAGCTGCTCCTCCAAGGGTGAGGGTTCTCTCTCACATAACATAGCTGCTCCACCAGGGGTGAGGGTTCTTTCTCACATAACATAGCTGCTCCTCCAGGGGTGAGGGTTCTCTCTCACATAATATAGCTGTTCCTCCAGGGGTGAGGGTTCTCTCTCACATAACATAGCTGCTCCTTCAGGGGTGAGGGTTCTCTCACATAACATAGCTGCTCCTCCAGGGGTGAGGGTTCTCTCTCACATAACATAGCTGCTCCTCCAGGGGTGAGCGTTCTCTCTCACATAACATAGCTGCTCCTCCAGGTGTGAGGTTTTTCTCTCACACAGCATAGCTGCTCCTCCATTTGTGAGGGTTCTCTCTCACATAACATAGCTGCTCCTCCAGGTGTGAGGGTTTTCACTCACATAAAATAGCTGCTCCTCCAGGTGTGAGGGTTCTCTCTCACATAACATAGCTGCTACTCCAGGTGTGAGGGTTCTCTCTCACATAACATAGTTGCTCCTCCAGGTGTGAGGGTTCTCTCTCACATAACATAGCTGCTCCTCCAGGTGTGAGGGTTCTCTCTCACATAACATAGCTGCTCCTCCAGGTGTGAGGGTTCTCTCTCACACAACATAGCTGCTCCTCCAGGTGTGAGGGTTCTCTCTCACATAACATAGCTACTCCTCCAGGTGTGAGGGTTCTCTCTCACATAACATAGCTGCTCCTCCAGGTGTGAGGGTTCTCTCTCACATAACATAGCTGCTCTTTCAGGGGTGAGGGTTCTCTCTCACATAACATAGCTGCTCATCCAGGGGTGAGGGTTCTCTCTCACAAAACATAGCTGCTCCTCCAGGGGTGAGGGTTCTCTCTCACATAACATAGCTGCTCCTACAGGGGTGAGGGTTCTCTCTCACATAACATAGCTGCTCCTCCAGGGGTGAGGGTTCTCTCTCACATAACATAGCTGCCCCTCCAGGGGTGAGGGTTCTCTCTCACATAACATAGCTGCTCCTCCAGGGGTGAGGGTTCTCTGTCACATAACATAGCTGCTCCTCCAGGTGTGAGGGTTCTCTCACATAACATAGCTGCTCCTCCAGGTGTGAGGGTTCTCTCTCACACAACATAGCTGCTCCTCCAGGTGTGAGGGCTCTCTCTCACATAACATAGCTGCTCCTCCAGGTGTGATGGTTCTCTCTCACATAACATAGCTGCTCCTCCAGG